CAATCATGTTAGGCCAAAGTGATGCATTACCCTAGGCGTCCAACTCTCTAACTATTGAGCCACGAACTCGTTGTCTTGCCAGTTTTAGGTAGGGAGATGTTGATACTCGTTAATGAACGTTCAGAGACCGCTAACGGAAATCAATCCTGCCGCGGGCCTCATTTCTCGGGCCCTGACAGCAGCCAGAGCCGCTAGTATTATAAGACAACTTGTATTACCGGTAGGGACAATAGAGACTGGAATGCTCATTTCTGGCTAACTAACAGTCATCAGCCAATCAAACCCAATCCCACGTGGTTCACTTACTGACACTTACTCGTGACCACTTCGATCAGCGTCTAGCGCTCTAACCATTGAGCCACGAGTTCGTTTTCTTTCCAGTTTATGCCGAGGCCAGTTGAAGTTGGTTGATGAACGTTCACCGACCGCAAATCTTGGGGGAAACCACCCAACTCCCTGTAATTATCTTAATCGACCCTGTACACACAACGAAAGGCGCCTCGTTAGACGATAATCACCACAAAATACAAAGCAATGTATATCCGATGTATACACACTTTTCAGTCTTTCTTTATGCGACTGAGACGATTTTGGCAAGGCAAGTGCGTTGTTTGTGGCTTTCGCATTTTAAAACGTGCTAGGTTTTCCTGTTGTTTACTTTGATGCAAATCCATTTCTCTGGATGTTTACTGGGGACCGAATTTCTTTACTGATTTGTTAATGAGGTGTGACTTCACGGTGTAAAGAGACAATGTGTATGTACTGAAATAACGCTCCAAAGCGGACCTGCATAGTTGCACGAAGCCATAAGGTATTCGACTATAATCACTGTAAACTGTTACTCGTAGAGCGAGATGAGTGAGTTCCGTTAGCGATCGTTGCAGAATCCTCAACGAATTTAAATATCTCGCGATCTAAACCGATGAAGTTGCGAGTACGAGACTCAATGGGCAATGCTTTATACCTCTTATCCAAAAGGTCGGTGGTTCGAGCGTCTGGTCTTGCGTCACTTGGGGTTGGGTATGACTGGCTAATGACGGTTAATTAACCAGAAACGGCCATTCCAGTCTCCCTTGTCTCTGCCTGCAATACTTTCTGCCTATTCCTGTTCTGTGTTACAAGCAATCTAACTGTTCTAGTTATCGATTATACTTCCTCTCAGCTAAAACCTAGGACACCACCGTCTATTTATGTCGACTATGAAAGCCGATAATAAGTGGGTTCCAATCTCACTGAGGTCTCGATGATCTTACAATAAGGGAATAATAACTGAGCGCCAATCTACCAATGTATGCGCACCTTTCACATTTCTACACTTGACCGGGATTAATTTTGGCGAGGCAAGTATATTGGTTGTGGCTTTCGCATTTTTTAAACGTACAAGTTTGTCCTGTTGTTAACGTTGGTGCAAGTCCATCTCCCTGGGTGGTTGTTGAAGGTGAGGTTTTTGTTGATTTGCTCATGACTTGTGACTTCACGGGGTAGAGGGACAATGTGTGCCTTTACTGAAATTACGCTCGGGAGCGGGCCTGCATAGTAACACGCGACCATAAGGTAGTCGAGCATAGTCACTCTAAATTGCAATATGCAGAGGGGGACAAAAAAGTTCTGTTAGCGGTCTGTGCTTATCAGCAATATCAATATCTCCCGAGCTAAACCGACTAGGTTACGAGTCCCTGACTCAATAGTTGGTGCATCTGATGTTGCGCCACTTGGGGTTGCGTATGACTGGCTGATGATGGGTAATTAGCCAGAAACGGCCATTCCAGTCATCCTTGTCTCTGTCTGCAATACTTTCTGCCTATTCCTGATCTGTGATACGATCAATCTACTTGTTCCAGTTATCGATTTTATTTCCTGTCAACTAAAACCTAGAACCCGACCCTCCGTGTATGTTGACTATGAAAGCTGATAATAAGTGGACTCCAATTGCACCGCGATGTCGATTTTTTTACAAAAAGGATAAGGAAGTAATAAGTGAGCACCAATCTACCAGTGTATGCGCACCTTCCAAATTGCTTTACGTGACTGGGATTAATTCTGTCTAGGCATGTATGTTGGTTATGGCTTTCGCATTTTAGAACGTGCAAGATTGTCCTGTTGTTAACGTCGGTGCAAGTCCGTCTCCATGGGTGGTTACTGAGGGCCGACTTTTCTGTGGATTCGTTCATGACTAGTGATTTCACGGGGGTAGAGAGACAATCTGTGCGTGTACTGAAAGGACGCTCAGGAGCAGGCCTGCATAGTAGCACGCAGCCATAAGATACTCGAGCATAATCATCGTAAACTGCAACACAGAGCGGGAAGAATGAGCTCTGTTAGCGATCTATGCTTACCATCAATATCAATATCTCCCGACCTAAACCGACAAGGTTACGACTTCGTTACTCAATGGTTAATGCTTCTGGTGTTGCTCCACTTGGGGTTGCGTATGACTGGCTGATGATGGGTAATTGGCCAGAAACGGGCATTCCAGTCTCCCTTGACTTTGCCTGCAATACTTTCTGCCTATTGTTCTTCTGTGATGCGATGCAATCAATCTTCTTGTTCCCCTTATCGATTTTATTTCCCCTCATCTAAAACCTGGAACTCAACCCACCGTATATATCGACCAAGAAAGCTGAAAGTAAGTGGATTCAAATAGCACCGCGATGTTGATTTTCTACAAAAAGGATAAAAGAGTAATACCTGGGCACCAATCTACCAATTACAAATTCCTTAACTTGACTGGGTAAGGCAGGTTTGATGGTTATACCTTTCGCATTTCTAAAACCGGTAGGATTGTCCTGTTATTAACTCTGTGGCCAGTCCATCTCCATGGGTGTTTACTGAAGGCCGACTTTGTTGGTTGCTTTCCTCATGTCTTGTGACTTCACGGGGTAGAGTGAGAGACAATGTGCGTGTACTAAACTTACGCTCCTGAGCGAGCGTGCGGGTAGCGGCGACATGTGCAGGTTCTATAATGAACTCTAGAAGCTGACAGCTCATTGCAGGAAGTCTGTTGCACGCGCCTTATTTGCATACGATCTGTCAGGACATAAAAACCCCACTGACCGTCACAGTATGCTTAGTCAGTTGCTTCGCCTCGTACGTGCTGCTGGGCGCCACAAATGTTCGTCTTCTTTCCATTCTGTTCATGTAAGTGAATATCTACCGAATTGGTTAGTTTTTAAAGCATCTTTCTCAAGTTCAAATCAGTAAATTTGATATTTATATCTACCGGAAGCATGTCATATGTTCATTTTTGTGATAACACAGGCGTGGATGCTTCTTCTGTTTCGCCTGTATACACCTCTAGCCGTCATAATCAATCACAGCCGGTCATAAAATATACGTAACATCTAGTCCAATTTCTGTCTGAAATATTATAAAAGTGTTTAATCAAAGCGGACTACAAACGACTTGGTTTACGAAATATTCTGAAACTATTTATCAGAGAGGATGGATACGGTCATAAGCGATTCTTTGTATATTCAAAATAATTAAAACATTTTGGAGTATGATAAAGTGATTTTTATGTTCCATTTTGAGAAGCAACCTTTGTTGAGCTCATCACGTTATATATGCATATATGTATTTGTTGCATCTTCAGATCGTTTTATTTCATTTCTATTACGATATAAGTAATGAAAATGCTCCGACGCACAGAAATAGCTTAGGGGTGGACCGATATTAATTTCATCTTTGCGCATCACCTACTAATCGGCATTGAGTAGACTGTAACAGGATGCAAACTTTATTTATTACTTTGTATTGGTACTAGGATTCCGAAATACATAACACCTTTTAGTACCGTGATAGTGTTGTGTCTTCGGTTTAACTACGGCGGCCACAAATCCATGCTCACATTGGCGAACATCTGTCTTACCCAAAGTTAGTGAAAATTGAATAGTTAAAGGTCTTATTTGGGATCTAGTATGTAAGAGCACTGACTTGATTTAGGCGAGCATGTTATGCGTAGGTTTTTCCTCTGCTAAGTTAGTAATATTTCGGGTTGGACTTAAAGATTGCAATGGGGTTTTAGGCCTAGGGAAGGGATAAAAATTCATTTTAAGATTTAGGCCTAGGTTTAGCTGATCAGGTTAGGGATTAAGGCTCTGGTTTAGGTACTAGGATTATAGAATATATTTGAGAGTTAGTGTTGGTTCTTACAATTAAGGCATGGAATTAGGGTCTGGGATAAGAAGTAAAGGTTATGACTTAAGGTTAAGTCTTTGGCTTAGGGCAAAGTTCTCGGACGCGGATTTAGGGTAAGCGTTAAGGATTAGCGTTTTGGCTTAGGGCTAGGGCTAGCGCCTAGGGGTTAAAGTTGATGCTAAAGGATTGGAATTGGGGCTACGGTAAAAATGATTGGTCTTAGACAATTAGATCCTACTTTTAGCAATATTAATTTACTGTTACTCGTGTTTGCCTTCAGCTTCCACGTTTTTGGCCCGTTTTTAGTTTATTTAGACTCCAAATTTGATTTGTGCGCCTTTTTCTGTAAGCCTTCGTGGAGTATTTAAACAACTTTATGCGCCAATGCTGTTTTCACTCCGTCTTCCTCAGGGTTTTTGGTCTACCGTCGCCTTTTGCCCCTTCCACAAAAGTCATCCACAACAGTAATTTCTTTTTAGAGGAAATGTGTCTGCGTTTCCTCACCTTTTTGCGAACCCATCTCAAATTGTACGATTTCACCCATTAATTAAATCTTGTACCTTAACCGAAGCCAAAAGGGGATAAAAGTATCATCCAACCTTCAGCTAAAAGGGAAGCATATTGGTATAAAGTGACGTGATTTGCGCATGACTTCAAAACGTACAAAGAAGAATAATTAAACGGCGATTACAGCGCAATTAAGGAAAGCAAGGGCGTAACTTTAAATCCCACACGAATCGCCCTTTCATTTTAGAAGCTGATCACTGTTTAATACCTTTAAATTTATTCATAAAACCTGCATACTGTCATTTCATTTTAGACAGGAAAGCAATCTATTTTAATGTGACAAATTTACAGAAAGTATGATGCAACTTGGCATCAAATGCTACTTTTCTGACGGTATGGTGCTACGGGGCATTTTTGAAAGATAATAAATCTGTGCTTGACGCAATTTCCGAGGCTTTCTAGCGTGAATAACAAAACTAGCGTGATTAACTTCATCAGCAGTTTGGAAATTTTGTGGTCCCAAAGACCGTAAATGGAAAATGTACCAACACGAAATTCTGTTTATCCCTTCACTTAACGTTTGCCTATCACCTTTCGTTATGCCACGTTGATTTTGTGGTTGCTATGTTGATGCTATGCTCATCCAAAGTGAAGCCTCTTAGATTACAGGAAGTTAAGGTCATTGCAGTTTGTTTGCCTCATTGCAAATTCAACCTGTAAAATATACGGTTTGATGGAGTTTATTTAACTGAAAATATATCATATTACTGACTCGAAGGCGGGTAACAGTGCCTAATAATTAAGTTCAAAACCTTCATATTATCTGTTAGACCCGGATGTGACGATTTCAGCCAATATGTAAACAAGTATATAGTTGCCAATACAAGCGAACATGCGAGTTCCAGGAAGTTATTGAGAAGAAGACGACTCGGTCGCTGGGTCAATACTTTTATTCGCCTGCGTTTCGAAATCCGTCGCGGATTGATCATCAGAGACATAAGCAGAGATCAGTGAGTCATGGTTCACAGGTCCCAATCCATAAACAAGTGTAACGAGTTGGCCAATCCATATTCGGTGCTGCGACTCAATTCGGCCAAAGAAAGCCGCCACTTGGGGAACAGACAGGCCACCGCGTCATTCTACGCCAACACCGGAGGGCCTGATGGCCCAGCAATAATCATGCTCGAATGCACCACGCGTGATGAAAGTTTAGCAAGTCAGATGCCGCATGCCGTTCAACAAACTGTCAACACGCAAGCAGGCAATTACCATTAATCGTCGTTGTATGTTTGTAGTAATGACTGCACCTTATAAATACTGCAAACTTCTGTGCATACGCTACCCGTATTTGCTAAAACTCTCTGCTTATGTCTCTGATGACAAATCCGCGACGGATCTCGAAACGTCAGGCGCGTAAAAGTATTGTCCCAGCGATCGAGTCGCCTTCTCAAGTGTATAGTGATTTAGCAAGCGATGGTGGAGCTTCCGGTTTGTGCATTTGTGCCTAAAATTTGCATCCCAGCACTGCAAGACCCTTCCACTTTTACTTCCTTTTAAATTTGGTCCTAACACCTTTAACAGTAAATTCAACTTCCATATCCCCTGCAGGTGTGCGGGCGCATGAAAAGCCATTGGCTTCCGACAGAGGGTTCTACAAGTTGAAACCCCTTGAAAACCCGCCGGCCAGAGCTGATGACAAGGAATTCTCGCCCGACCAGCTGGACCAGTCCGACTTCGAGAAGCCTACTCCTTCACTACCCCTGACAAACAACGAGAAAGCCCTGAACGAAACCAGCAAGGGGCTCAACAACCAGATACATGAACTGATTGAGTTGGAATTTCAACCGAAAGGTGGGCGTTCTACGCCCAACCAGAAGAGTGCTACAATGCAATTTCCCATGCGCACGAAATCACCTCAAGCGCGTAGCGAGATCCAAATGGATGACAGGCTCGATGGGGAAATTGAGTGAGTTTGATCCCCTCCACTATATTGTAATATTCTTTACAGCAGTTTCACTGAAAGTATAGCAGGAATGATTGTCTTGGCAAAATTGATTTTATGGGTTTACTAAGATTGCAATCATTGTATCCTTCGTCATCTGGACAAATGAAACAGCGTTTGATAAAGAAGTGTATAGGATCTGCGAACCAGGATTAATAGAAACCATGAGAGTGCATGACAAATCTAAATGATAGAAGTATGTTATTCTACAGGGAGCTTTGCATGATTTTAAGTGTACTGTGGTAGTAACAGAACACTTTGGGAAACAGTAGACTTTAGTAGTGGAGTAGATGCGATGATCTTTACACTACAACATCATTGAGATATAAGTTTGAGTTTTTTTTTGCCAAAGTGTTGCATTACATTGTTAAGCAGAGTTAAACAGTCGTGAGCTTTACAAAAAGTTTCAAGGACATGAACATTTATTTAGAAGTTAGAGTTCTATTGATTCGCACAGAAGGCCACAAAAGGAGCCTTGTCGTGTTTTTGTTTGTTTTGATTATTTTTTGCCGAAACGAAATATTTATAGGGGGAAAGTGATCGCAAAAAACCTGTAGGTGATTAGATACATCAATTGAATATCATCTTCGCCCGCCAGTTAAGTTTGGCAATATGGGAGAGGAAAAACAGGGGCACCGAGTTAGCAGATGGTAGGGGTTATAAAGAAAATTGCATGCAATTAATGGTGTTTTAGCCACGGTGAATGGTGAGGGGGATTTCATAAGACGTTCCACTGTGCGCGCAATACCAGTGGCGTACCCTGATGGCAGCCGCTGCTATTTTTGCTTTCAGACTTTGCCCGCGTGGCCTAGGCTATTTCGGCGAAACCTTACAAATTGCATGAAAGTCTTCATTCGAGCCCACAGGATGTCTGAAATCGGGTACCTGGGCGACAATTACACTGCCTAGAACCCTAATTTAGTATTTTGCTATTCTTATTAGGGGTTGTCCCTGTATTTGTTGGATAGACGCCGACTAATACGATCAACAAAATCTTCCCAAAAGGAACAGCTTAAGGAGAAAATGCGCACTGCGGTTGTCTGGCTTGGTAAGCAACCCTCACCTTTCCCTTAAGAATGGTCAAAATAAGACCTGATCTATTGCTGATGGGAGGATTCTTGTTAAAACTTGATTAAGTCATCTACTCAGGCGTGCATTTACCTTGTTCGGAACAGACATTTCTTTTTCGCCATCACTGTGGTTAGTTGATTTGATCTCTCTTAATTATCGTAAGCACTTCTTAGATGCCGTCTGAAGAGATATGAAACGGTCAATGTTTGCATACTTTCCAGATTGAAAGTAGTCCTTAGATCTTTTTCTTGAAGAGATTTCTTAAAACAAAACAAACTTGTTGAGGAAACCGTCGCCAAAAGCATTCGATTTCATGTATAGTGTTCATAAAACGTGTATCGTTTATAATGCAGAGATAAGATGCACGCAATGTAATGCTCAGTACTTATTTTGTAGAATATATGATCGTGCATTCATTAAGACTGCTTGGCAAGATATGAATTCGGCATAGCATCGTTTTAGATGCCTCTTGCTATCCTCCTCGGAGATTCATGTTATTTTTAAGTCCCGCGTTAGGATCCAAATTGAGGGAAGAGTTTAAAGTGAGAGTTAAAGTCAAGCCTTCTCTTGGGGGAAAAGTTCAGTTTAGGCTTAGGAGTAAACATTATGCCTGGTTTAAGGTGTGAACAACTAATATTCTTCGCTTCCTGAGGTCAAAGAAAACGTTAGCTGTATAGCTAAAGGTTCCAGGCATATGATCTGTCGGATGATCTGTTGATGATCTGTCGGATGTTTGGACTTTAGTTCAAAGAGACCTGTTTCGACCAACTTAAAGAGGGTTGACATTGCCTTGCAATTCACAATGCCTATCGTGAAGCAAATGCGCCATGATTTTTCGAGAAAATTCGGTTTGTAATAGGAACAAGTAGGCGAAATCCGAGAAGCAGCTCTGAAGCTGAAACATAAAGTGTATTGGTCTGACTTTTCG